TGACTCAAGGACCGGTTGCAGCTATGTCGCTTAGAGGCTAGGCTCGTACAATCAAGCGAATTTATTTTCCTCATCCGCGCCATGGATAAAAGATTAAAATCTAAAAGCGGAACAATGAATCAACGAACAAGGGTTAATTCAAATCTCATCGATATACGTAAATATCGATTGCACGCCGCCGGCAGGCAGAGGCCGTTCTGTGCGGGCAAACGCGCGGCAAAAGCGCATTAAGCAGCCCTCACGGCAGCCCGGTTTGTCCCATCGACATCGGACTGGGCTCTATGACTAACAAGTTTGCACTTTAGCGCATAACGGGGCATTCCGCCGTGTACCATAGATCATGGTCCATGACCCGCGGATTGCGTGGGCCGGCCACCATAATCATTCCTCGCTTCGATACAACGACGTGATGTGGTACCGCGCGAGCATTAAGTTTCCAACTCTTCTTCGCCCCGTCTTTTCCATCCCACTCCCGTTCAATCACAATCGCGCTCTTCCTTCTCCCGCATCGCGCTCACTTCAATCTTATACGCTGCCAATTTTCGTCGCCTCGATCGTGAGATAATCGCGCCGCGCGATTAATCCGTCCGTCTTTACAGAAATATAGTTATTGCTTCATAAAAGCAATATTTAATAATCATATGAATTTATTCATCGTGAACAAAAGAATATGTATTCGGGAAAAATATTTTTGTGCCAAAAATGAGAAAAAAATGGTTTTTTTCTAAAAATTTAAGAAACGTTCACACACACACACACACACACACACAATGGGTCCTTAGATTTCGCTCGGCGAGGAAACGCGCAAGGAGAAACTCGAACGAAATAGTGCGTAATTTTCCGTGCGTATTCCGTGCGGTTGGCACAGAGGTTGTACCAACCGCAAAGATTAATTTAACCGTAGCTATAAATACCTGTCGGATAGATAATAAATCGTCCCGCAAAATACGCAGCACGGATAAATAGATACCTTCGGGGTAACAAAATTTCTTTGCTTTTCCATCGGCGTTCTCGCGCGATTATAAATAATTAATTGGCTCGACGCGACACCGATCGGGGATAAGATCGCGTCGTGCATATATCCAGATCTCCGATCGTCCGTAATAGAAATGTAATCTCATTGCTCGGGTTTTATCTAGATTGCAAAATCTAAATGACTCAATCGGCCGGCGCNGATTTATCATCGCGAAATAAACGCGTATCGAAAATGATTACCGCCAATACGTCGCTATACGTAATCATTGTCATTAGCGTAATTATCATTATTTATTGACGGATAATAATATCGTCTAGCGAGTCGCCCTCTCAAACGGGATGAGACTGGGTGGTGGTGTCTCGCGCATTTTACTTCGGGAATCAATTTTAGTAATGATACCACGGCGCAAATGACATCGACGCTCTGATTAAGCACTGTCGAGAAGGATATATATGACAAATAAATTGCAGACTCTTTGTGATAGCGCAAATGTCAAGGATGTTTT